GCCACAGGGGAAATCAGGTAACTATTTTTTTGAATTACGTATTTTTAAATTTTTTGATTGAGAATTCTATATGTATATTCAGATTATCTATTTCACCAGTATGCAGTCTTGGCAGTTCTGTGTTTCTAGGAATTTGCCCATTTTAGAGAGATTGTACATTTTTTTGTCATGTAATTGTCCATACTATTTTCCTATAATCCTGTTTATTTCTATAGAATCAACACTAATGTCTTCATTTTGATTTCTGATTTTAGTAATTTGTAAATCAATCTTTGAAATGTTGTACTTTTATTTTCATTTTTCAAAGATTTTCTAACTTTTATTATTTCTTTCTTGATTTATTAATCATTAGAGATTGTGCTGTTATCTTCCACAAATTTGTGAATCATCAGTTTTCCCTTTGTTACTGATTTTTAACTTCAGCCTCTGATGGTCACAGAGGATACTTTGTGTGACATTTATCCTTTAAAAGCCAATGAAGTTCAATCTGTGAGCAGTGCATTATGTAACTTCGGGATGTCTGACATGCACTGAGAAGACTGTATTCCACTGCTGAGTGCTGTTTGGTTTATGTAACCATTATTAAGAACTTCTTTGATTCTGTCAATTTGTTTCATATACTTTAGAAAACTTTTATTAGGTATGTAAATGTTTATAAGTTTTTGCTATATTGAGCTCCCTTTACTTTTTCAACTTAAAATTTATTTTATCTGATATTAGTATAGTTACCCTCGTTTTCATTTGGTTACTTTTTGTATGGAATTCCTAAAATGAGTCTTTAATAGATAGTAAATAGTTTGATTATATTTTTAGGGCTATTCTGCCAATTTCTTATTTTTCTGAAAGTTTAGAACCCATTTACATTTAAGCTAATGAAGAGATTTAAAAAATCTCTGCAGAGACTTCTGATATTACTTTCCTATATGCTTTTAAAAGTTGTCTCTCATTTACTACCTTTTACTTACCTTCTCTTGCATTTATTTGATTTTTTGTAATAAAACATTTAAATTACTTTCTTCATTTCTTTTGTGCATACTCTATAATTAAATGCTTTTTGGTTGCCATGGGTATCACATTAATATTGTAAAGTTATAATACCTCGATTTGAATTCACACCTGTTTAACTTCAATAAGTATTCAAAACTGCTACTTTTCACCTTTGTCCTTACCCATCATTTTTGTCACATAATCATATGCTTATACATTTAATCATATGCTTAAACATACACTCACAGATTTTAAAAAATGAATTGATCTCCCAAATTATATAGAAAACAAAATGTGCAACTACAAACTCAAGTTAAAATATTACTAGCTCTACAGTAATCGTTTTTCGCTTATCATGCCAGTCTCCAACCCTGTAGAAGAGAGAAAGCAGTTTTACCTGCTGTTCCAGCACTCTAGCTTGTGGCTCTGCATCTGCCTCTTTTTCCCTCCACGTGACTCCGAGCACAGACGATTGCTCTTTCATCTTCTTGTTTATTTGTTTGTTTTGTTTTGTTTAAGACAGAGTCTTGTTATATAGTAAGTGCTATATAGTCTTGAATTTGATATGTATCTCAGGCTGGCCTTGAACTCATGGTGATCCTCTTGCCTCAACCTCTTGAGTGCTGGGGTTACAGACGTGCACCACCACGTCCAGCTGTCTTTCATTTCAACATGCAGGACTTGCTTTAATACTTCTTGCACTAATTTCAGTAGTGACTAAGCTTACTCCGCTTCTGTTATCTGACCATATCGTAATTGTTCTGTCACCTCTCAAAAATTCACTGGATTGTGTACATTTAAGGTATACAGCATGATGCTATAAGATGCACCAATTATAGTAAAACAGTTCTTACACTGGAATGAATGAATGTGCTTCTTGCTTCACATGGTCATCCAACTCCCCTGGTGGCAAGAGCAGCTGAAGTCTACTTATTTAGCAAAAAATCCAAATACATTATCTATTGTCTTTATGCTATGAGATCTTGCTTATCCTGCATTTCTCATTGTATAACCTTTGACTTACATGTTCTCATTTCCTCTATCCTAATTACTGGAATCCATTGTGCTTTTAACTCATGTAAAAAAAAGACTCTATATAAGTCAACTCATGTCATTTTATTTCTGTATATAGCTTATTTCATTTAGTATAATATCATCAAATTTCATCTGTGTGAAAATAGTAGAATTATTGCATAATAATATCTGTACTCTCGTATTCACTGAAGAACTACTAGAAATAATCAAGACAGCCCAAGTGCCCACTAATAAATGACTGGACAAAAAAACTCTGTGTGTGTGTGTGTGTGTGTGTGTGTGTGTGTGTGTGTGTGCGTGTGTGTGTGTGTGTGTGTGTGTGATGGAATACCATTCAGTCTTTAAGAAGGAGGGTGTTCTCCTTCAATATAAATTGACAATTTTGCTAGATCAAGAATTATTGCCTAACAGTTCAGTTCTTTTATCGGTATATAATCTCACTGTTATCTAATTCTCAGCAAATGCTTTGTCGGTATCACTTGAGATTGTTATTCTTTCCAAGTGAAATTATTAAAGTGTAATATAGCACCCATTATTTTTGTTAGTGTGATGAATGCAACCCTAATGTGTCTCATCCCCTGCGTGGTTTGGTTAGCTGATACTTTATTCTGTAACATTGCAAGCATAGTGGTAAATTATTAGTTTTTTTCCTTCATTTATAAAAGCCCTACTTAGTTTTAGTATACATATTATCAGATGAACTGGGACATGGTCTCTTTTTTCTGATTAACTGAAAATTTTCTTGTAGTTTGAAATTATCTGTTTCTTAAATGTTTGCTAAAGCCTGTTAAATATTTTAGGTCTCTTTTTTCTTTTTGGGAAGACTTTTGATTGCTAATTATTTCTTTTTGTTTGTTTTTGCTTTTTGCTTTGTGAGAAATGGTTTTGCTATATAACTTAGGCTGGCCTTGAACTCACTGTGTAGTCCAGGCTGACCTCAAATCCATTCCAATCATCCTGCCTCAGTTTCCTCAGTGCTAGGGTTACATCAAGTGTGCACCACAATGCCCAGCTTTGCTAATTATTTCTGCAATGGAAATTTGACTGTTTGCTTATTCCTAACTTAAATTTAATGTAATGCTACATATTGTTTTTTTCATTTGTTTAAATTTTTTTTTCTCTTTTGATCTCATCAAATACATTTTAGGATGAAAACAGACTTTTCATCCAAGAAAAATGTACAAGAAAAACTGTAAACTTTTATAAAATTATAATTTAGGTACATTTTCATTATGCTTGTTTGTCAAATGTTAGTTTTATATATTGCTATACCTTTTTCTTCCTTCAAAATTAAGTTATTTTCTTGACTTCTATGTTCTTCTTCCCTACTGACTGACAGCATCATTTTGTGACTATGCCATGTTTATCATGCTGATATATGATGAACTCAAAGCATCACAAGTTTTTGAACCATCTTTAATTATTAAGCTATATTAGAGTAGATTAGGACCCACTATGATGTCATGTCAGTTTATAACTATGTAATATGTCTTTACTAATTTAAAAATTATTAAATTAGTATAACTCTGTCCTACTTGAAAATAGAAGTTGAGTCTAAGAATTATAACTTAATTTAGAAAAAATTGATTTATACTTTTTAATTTAAAAAGTTTAAAGCTCATATGACATCAGTCAATAAGAAACCAAAATTTCTAAAGTACCAAGTGTCTAAGAATGCTGAAGCCTTCCTACTCCTTTTGCTCTCCCGTGAGAAGTCTGCGAAGTTCTACACAGGATGAGGATGATAAAACAGTGTGGAATGCAGACTATCTCAGTAGCAAATCTTGTGTCCAAAAACATACTCAATAGGACAGAGATAAGCAGCGAAACTCAAAAAGTTCAGAAATAAGTGTGAGGAAAGTGTGAAAAAGAACAAAATTTTATTTTGGTCAGTAACATTGTTCTTCCTTCACCACGGTCTCAGTTGTACCCTTTGTCCAAACTTTTGATGAAGTCCAGTTTGTTGGTTTTATTTGTGGAGCAAAAACAGTCGGTTGTGGCTCTTGATTGAGTCGTGGATTTGCTTTTATTCTTGTGGTGTCAGCCCTACAGCTTTAGAGAATATTTATTCGTAACATTCTAATATTCTGAAATCAGCTAGAGGTGAAATCAGCTAGAGGCTTTTTCTGAGAAATTTGAAAGAACTACAAATTTCCAAACCTAGAGTTGGGGAATATTGACATGTAAAAGTCTAGGTCTTTAGTTTAAAAATTAGAATATTTAGATACTAGTCACACTTTTATCAGTAATTACTTTATTCCTCTAAGACTGAATAATTTATTTCTCATCATCTCATTTACCTATCTGTAAATAAATTGGATCTGGCAATTCTTTTTGTTAGTTTTAAGAATTATTATGTTTATTAGTTCGTGTTTGCAGTATGTAATGTTCACATTCCTCTTGTGGAGCTGGTGCATGCGCATAACACATTTTAAATCTTTCTCATTTTCTTTCTTCTTTCTCTCCCTCTCTCCATTTCTTGGTTCCCTTCCCTTTTACAAAACATTTATCTGCTTTTTTTTTCTGTTATTTGCTTTTGTCAAATGGTTTCTCTTGCATGAAAACCCAAAATATAAATAAAGAGCAAAATAAAAGACAGATAATTGGATTTGACTATTCTTGATCCTCTTATACTACAATGTAAAAAATTTTAGTAATTTCAAAGGTAGATCTTCCAAAAATTCATGTTATTTAAAAATGTGAACTTAGATATCTAAAAGTTGTGAAACTGACAGATGTCCAAAATCAAAGTCCAAAGTGATAGGAAAAAGTGTTCAGAATATGAAACTACTTAAGTTTTAGAAATAATTTGCCAGAAATGTCTACCTTACTTACCAAGTTATCCAAAACTCATGATTTCTCGTGGTTCGCAAGGTGATGAAGAATGGAATCTTACGGGTTTCTATCTTACCACAGTTGTATTTTGAATACAAATGGCTGATAGTGACTTTGTTCTTTTTCTTTTTTCCGAATTATAGGGTGGTTTCACACGTAAATATTCTCTTAGTTCAAAAACGGGAACACTTCTTCCAGAATTCCCTAGCGCTCAGCACCTTGTATACCAGGGATGTGTTTCTAAGGACAAGGTACTATTTGAAGATACTTCTGCATTTTTTGATACGTCGGTTTTATATCTCAACTTCTTGGGAATCTCATGGTACTTACAGAAAGCATCAGAAATTTGCATAATGAAACAAAATTGTATGAGAGAAATAAATGTTTACTAACATTGACTTGCACTTTCCAATTAATTACCATCTTATGATAGTATGTAATCAGAAGATAGTAAAATAAACCATAACAAGCTAAAGATTTTTCAATTTAAAAACCCTGTATTGAGGAAGAAAGTATTATAGTGTATGTGTCACATACAGGTTTTCAACTGTAGGACTCCTGTTTTCTATTAGACCCATTTTTCTTTACTGAGCAGTCATCAAACATTTCCCTCGGGCAGAATTTGCCTCTAGCACTGAGTAGGAGATACTTAGAAAATGCAGGCTACACAGGTAGCAGACACTCCTGTAAATTTGAAAATTCTGTGCTCTCCTATGTTTGTAGTTCTTTTAAAACTGAGGGAAATAATCTTTTCATTGGATTCAGTTTGTAAATGATCTTCAATATGACTTTTCAGTGCTTAGTAATAAAGTCTGCAACTTAGCCCTGTTTTATTTCTGTGCTTCTAGAGTCATTTGTCGGGGGTCCTTCTGCTGTTTAATAACAGTTAATCAGAGCATAATGTTGTCCGTATATTTCTTTCAACCAAAAATCATTTTTATTTGTATTTGAGGCAAACACCTGAGTCATTTCATATTTTTCAGGTGTGAACATAGAGGAATATGATTAATGTCCAGTTGTATTATTTTAGCAATAGGCTTTTTATAGGAAATAAAAAAAGCATATTGATTTTTTCAAAGCTATTGATAAATAAGTAGAGACCCAGTGTAACATACAGGGTTCCTTCAGGGGCAGACACTGCCAACTGAGGGCGGCAAAGCCCTGGAGAAAGAACTCAGATGCTGAGTCTAAGGAGTCCCCAAAGGATGTCTGCTTTCTTCCATTCTCTTTCCTACCACATAAAGTCATCACATTGTTTTTCACTTTGTAGATGTAGCATCTGATAAGATGACTTTGTGACTAAAACCCATCAGTGAATAGCAATGGGGCAACTTTGTGGGACTCAGTTCTTTAAAGGAGAGTGTTGTGGGGCCATCTTTGTGGAAAGGATTGCTCATATGACACACATCAAAAAGATGTTTTACTGTAAGTAGACCTGGGATGGGGAGGACACACACACACACACACACACACACACACACACACACACACAGAAACAGAAAGACAGAAACAGAGGCAGTGATGAGGAACATGCTCTGATAGTTTAATTTTCTCTGCTCGTCTTCAAGGAATTCCCTAGGAATCAACTTGAAAGACTGGTAGATCCTTCCTTATTCAGGGACCAAGGTGCTTATGGAACTCTCTCTTAAGTTCATTCCTGGTGGAATTCGATGTGAACACCAGGTATGACACTGCTCTTGTCCTTTGAAGACCACTGAGCCTAGCATGGAGCCAGGTTCCCCTGGCAACTTGTCAATTCCTAGAAAGAGCACAGGGCTAAAGCCAAGGACCTAGAGCTCTTGTGTCCTTAGGGAAGGAAAGAATTGCTCACAGTGTTGGCCTCTATCAAGACGCTTAACACCATCATCAAGGCAGCTGCCACCCAGCTGTGCTAATGCCTCAGTGCAGCTGAGCTGACCTCTGCTTCTGCCTTCTGCAGTGAGCTCTGTTCTCATACAACTGGACAAATGACATTTATAAACAACACACGCACACTACAATTAACATTTGTTGTCCTAAGACTATGGAAATGTTAAACACAGGAAGTGATAATAAAGAGTGAACATTTTATGATTTGCATACAAAGCAGTACATTTTGACACTGATAATCTTGTGAAGATAAAAGCTTGCTTTCACTTTAGTAGATTTTAGGGCTTATTTTAAGGCTAATTTTGGATGATGCTGTGACTTCCCTTGCATCTTTCCTGTTGTCCTTAATCTTATTTTAAAAAGTGTGTCTTGGTGATCCATCTGACATATTGTAGTATTACCTAAAACAGAGCAAGCCTTGTTTGTATCAATTGGAGTATACCCTGCTAGAGTGGCTTGAGGGTTGCATGCCTCTGTGGAAATGTATTGTAATTTGTGTGTCATCATTATTTAACTGTGAGGAGACACAGAAGTATGTATTGTCTTGGGGATGCAGGAATAAGGGGCAGAGAACAGTGTTAGGATAGGACACCCCCCCCCCACTACCCTAGATGCTGTTGGGTCAAAACAGCTAACATCCATCAGGATCTTATAACACACTGTGGATTGTCCCCAACAACTTTATAGGTGTTCATTCATTTCAAATCAATGTATTTTACTGATACATGAACTTTACAGGTGAGAAAATTAAAGTACTTTATGAGTTAGGTAGTTTGCCCACTGCCATGTGGCCAGTAGACAGAACCTTAGCACTAGGGTTCAAATTCAGGAATCTGAAAGCAATTTCATGGATAAGATCTGAGCTGTGCTTCTTTCCATATATATCACACAGCCAGTAAGTCACTTCTAGCATATAAAATAAAGATTTTAGTTTGAATATTGTTAGATTGCTAGCATATATCTAATTCTAATTGTAAATTTTAGAATATATCCAAAAATTTTTTTAAAAACAATTATTATTTTTTTCTTTTTGGCAATACTGAGCATCAAACCCAGGACCTCAGTCATGCTAGGCAAGTGCTATACCATTGAGCTATACATCTAGCTGTTCAAAACTCTCTAAATTAAGCAATCAAAATGGATATGGTACCTGGAAATAGACACTATTGATAAGAAGCACTTAATGTTTGAAACTTCTTCTATAAATACATCATTTGGTATTATTGTTATTTTTAGATAACATGTAGTAAGCTCCTGTGGCATTCAGGTATGGTTATCCATTGATTTTCTTAAGTTCATGAGAGCAGTGTGCTTTTACCACTTAAAGGAAAATAGTCCCAGGGTCATCTGATCAGGGACAGAAAAGCTGGCACTTGCCGAGCTGACTCCTAACTCTGAGTCCATGGAGCACCACTACCGCAAACCCACTTGGAGCTGGATAGCTGGCGTTATCACCTCTAGGTTTCTTGTTAGGTAGCAAATCAGCCCATTGCTGTGACACTGCTCCTGCAATTGCCTTTCCTGTGGTTCCTATAGATCATGTTGTAACCCTCAGTTCACTCAGTTTTCTGCATTCACAAATCAGCTGCTTGAAATAGGGCCTTGCCCTTCTGATCCTCAACATTGAACATAGTGACTGGCACATAACAGGAGGTTATATGTTGTGCAGATAAGTGAACCAATGTAAAAGATCCTTTAGTTATGCCTTTTATTCCTTGAATTAGGTTGACACCCTCATAATGATGTACAAAACCCACTGCCAGTGTATCCTGGACAATGCAATCAACGGGAACTTTGAGGAGGTAAGGGTGACTGACAGAGGGCAGTTCCCCAACCTTGTAGCATACATGGTCCTGTCCAGGGCAAGTGCGAGTCTTACTGTTTGTACTCTGCCCTGCACCCAGATCCAGAATTTCTTACTACACTTTTGGCAAGGAATGCCTGACCATCTTCTCCCTCTGCTTGACAATCCTGTGATCATCGACATTTTCTGTGTCTGTGACTCCATCCTCTACAAGGTAAACTCTCCAGGGGTCTTCACAATGAGCCATGTTTCTCTAAATAGCATTCGACTTACATTCCTGAAACATATCTATATTAAGCCTGCTATTTTTGGTTGAAGAGTGCACTGTTTTTAGGATGACAAACAATTTAGTGCAAGTCAAGAAAACATATTTTAATACATTTTACTTGTCAAGTAAAACTGAACTTTCACTTACAGCTAAAAGTGATCCTAAAGGGACATGATTGCTAATGTAAAAAACTCAATAAATTTTATTGCCTCTAAGGTGTTTTCAGGTTAAAATGGCAGAAAGGCTGTTTCACAGTATTTGCATTTGAAGAAAAAACAAACATCTTCACAGGATTAATAGCTTCTGAATCCCTGGCTTCAATACACTGGTGTGCCCTTTAGTTCTTAAGCCAAATGAGAGTCCCCTCATGTGCTCATGCAGATCTTGAAGCCATCCTCAATATAGACAAGATGGTAGGCTTTCTATCAAACATTCACTGGCAAGGGACAGAGTCTAGGCCTTGTCTGAGCGGCAACAAGGTCCAAGAGGAAGAACAAAATGATATTTCAGTCTGGGCATTTTAAAGTTTATCCTGGAATCCAAGCTATTCAGGAGGCTGAGGCAGGAGGATTGCAAGTTTAAGGCCATCTGAGGTAAGTTAGTAAGAACTCAAAATAAAAAAATAATTTTTAAAGTGGCCTGAGATGCAGCTCTTGATAGAGGATCACTGAGTTCCATTCCTAGTAGCCCCTCACTAAAGTGAGTTTTCCTCCCTGCCATAAGTCAAAATAAAGCATTCCTTTCAAGGAATAATACAAGTTTTCAGGAAAAATGCAAGCCTGTGAAACAAGTTGTATCAGATCTTTGGCCTCGTGGAAGAGTAAAGCAGAGCCTTGGCTGGCTCCTCCAAGAGCGGCTGTGCAGACCGATGTGGGCACACGACCTGAGTCACAGGGAGGGTGCATGCTTCACGCCCTGTTTGGTTCTCCCTCACCACAAGCGACAGAATGAAGGGATAAGTGCGGGGCATTTGCTCTTTGTAGCTCAGGTTGGAAAAGGAAAAAAGAGAAAAGGGTAGTCTGTTTTTTCTGGAGTGAATATGAATGCCACTATTCAGAAAGGAAAGACTGAATTTTCCCTAACTGATTGCTTTATTCTGAGGAGGCAACTGTGAGTAGGGGCATAGAGCTTGCTCCTGAGACATCATAATACAGCAATGCATGCCTGCCCGTGTTTGTAGCAACACAACTCATAATAGTTAAACCTTGGAAGCAGTCTACATATCCATCAGCAGGTGAGTAGATGAAGAAAACGTGGTATTTATACACAGTGACGTACTACTGACCCTAAAAAAGAATACACTTCAATCATTTGTTGGAAAATGGATGCACCTTAAGACCATCATGTTAAGTGAAATGAATCAGACACACAAACTCAAATATCACACTGTTTCTCTTACGTGAGAATTCCAAGTATAAGTAAATTAAAGAGCAAAATATAGATAATAAAGAACAGGAAGACAGATCTTTTTCAAAAGGGAAGACGACTAAGAGTTTAAGTGTCTTTAAGTGGACATAATTTTTCTTCCTAACAGTTCGGAGAGCACAGAGAACCAGGTACACATAGTGCAAGACCTTCACTCCATTTGTGGAGTGCCCACCAGTGGGTCTGTGAAAGTACTGGTGGTCACCACACTGACACAGTGGAAACTAACAGTTAGCACATGGAGTGCTGTCCGAAGTTTCAGTCATACACTGCTCATACAGGCATACATTTAGAAATAAAACTATAATTCTCAGAAAGTAGATAACATATTGTTCTCCAGGAAACCAAGAAGAAAAAGTAATGAGCAAATAATGTATCATTCTTTGAAATGCTTGGCAAAGATTTATGCTAACTTTTTTGCTGTTATTAAGGTTCTCACAGATGTACTCATCCCTGCAACAATGCAAGAAATGCCTGAAAGGTATGTCCTGAAAATGAGATGATAGTTACATCGTGGAGGGTTTCACTTTGTGCTTTATATTCACTGTTCATTTATCAAGAAGAACATTCCTGCATTTCTCAAGAGCTGGAGATGTGCCCCATTCTTGCACTAAACCTTGCATTGAACCTATTTTGTTAAACGGAAAGGTTAAAAACTTGAAAATTCTTTTAAATTTAACAGCTAATGAAGTTAAAAATCAATATTTATTGAGCTTCAAGGTACTGAAAATGTTTTTCAAGGAAAACTAGCTGGAGGAGGACAAAGATAATTCATAGAAAATGCCACAATAATTAATTAAAGCTATAAGAAAATTTATATTTTTGCTATTAAATTTAATCCTAATTGCAAAATCAGGAAGTTAAGTAATGAAATTACTCTCTTCTTTTAACAAATAACTCAATTTCAAAGAGTTGATTAAAATGATATCTGAGATTTTTCATAAAGCCACTTCCCATATAAGAACAGCGGAAACTTGAAAAAGTCAGTTTCCCTTGAAAGCAAAGTCTAATATAATTAAAAATTTTTTTTAGTATAGGAGGAACATAAATCCATTTAGGATGTGGTTGGTGCTCAATAAATAATGTTGACTGATACACAAATTTTGTTTTGTATTTATCTTTTCTTCCAGATTTTTAATTTTGTGTCTGTATCCTTGCTGTTAATCTGGTCAATAGCATCTTTTGTGTTACACAAGGGATTGAACTCAGGGCCATGGCACTAGACTGTATCACCCATGCCTCCCACTTTTGAGACAGGGTCATGCTGAGTCACTAAATTGCACAGGCTGGACTTGGGCTTATAATCCTCTTGTCTCAGCCTCCCAGATTTCTGGCATTGTAGGCACATGCACTTAGCTTTGCAATATTTCTTTTAATTATTAACATTTAATCTTTACTCTTAGACAAGTACATCTGTCTCATAGGAAAATGTACTGACTTAGTAACGGCACATGACTGTTTAAAATAGTTTGAGTAGCTGATGTGCATTGAACACAACATAGGCTTATAGTCTTAAATTGATTCCCACAAAAAACCCAATATATTCTTTCTAGAGAATAAAAGTCATACATAAGTGCATTTAAAAATGCCTTTCAATCTCCGCACATTCTTAGCATCTTGGATTATAGCATCACAGTTTTTCCTAGGAACATTTGCAAATATACGTGTTTTTAAATGGAGCTGTAGTACAGAAGCTATGAAACTATATTGTAAGAGCATTTCCATGTCAATAAATATAGATCAATAAATATAGATCAATGTTATTTTTTTAAGTGCTGGCATAAATTTGCAACATCCAGAAAACAGTGCCCTTTAATCAATTAGTTTGCATTGAGTAATTGGATTTTAAAAGAGCACAATCTGTCATCTTACCCTAAAGTAGCTATTATGAGCCCAAATCCTCAAATGAGAAAGCCACCTCACCTCCCTGCCACCTCCCCAGACGTGGTGCTTCACAGGAAGCAGAGCTGGAACTGCTCACAGTTCTGTCGCTCTTTTCTTCCTATGCGTGGCTGCTCTGCAGCATGGGTGCCTCCCAGATAGGGTTAGGTTTGCCCTGTGGGGATAAGACATGAAGATTTTAGGCTGCTAAATTGTATAAGTTTTTGTAATACACTCCGAGCCAATATGTGCAACTTTCTAAGTTGAGTCTTAGTGTGCTTTTCATAATATTATATTTGGATTGTGAGAACGTGTTACTAAAACTAATATTAAGTACATGAAATGTTATTACCCTGATGTGATGACTCCCATTGATGTACCATGATGTATCCATTTACATCTTCCTACAAACATATTTTATAGCAAATGATTGCATCATGAGTTAATTTTAATAGTGAAGTATCATTTACCAAGTCCTCTCTGCATGTTTAGACTTTTATCTGGGCATTTTTCAGGAATTATTTCCTAAGCTCCTCATAATAATCCTGTATCCAGATCCTATTCTTATTCTTACTTAAAGGATGAGGAAACAAGAACTTGACGAAATTGAATATTTTGACAAACAGGCTAAGTGTGGGGGCCTGGGCTGAGCTGTCTCACCTCAAATCTGTGCGTTCAGAAGCACAGAGCTGTAGCGTACCTGCATAAGCTGCACTTCTTCAGTGATCTTTTGAACAGCATAACAATTAATATGTAGTTTTATTTGCAGCCTATTAGCAGACATAAGAAATTTTGCTAAAAATTGGGAACAGTGGGTTGTTTCATCCTTGGAAAACTTGCCAGAAGCTCTCACTGACAAGAAAATACCCATTGTGCGGAGATTTGTGTCTTCCCTGAAGCGACAGACATCTTTCTTACACCTTGCTCAGGTATTTGGGCAACTGAGAGCATTTATTACCAAATCAAAACTAAATCTTCTGAGAAGGACCAGACTGGGTCGCTCTCTCAGATGGAAGGAAATCAGCTAGGAAACAGCACAGTGCATGCGTGATCTAGAGTGTGTAGCAGAACTGAGGAAGTATGTTCCTAGGAAAGCTGGTGAAAGTGAATCGCATCTCTGGGTAAGACTGTTGTACAGAGATTAATTTCCTAATTTTACTAATGTACAGTGCTATGTAAAGCAGTAAGAAGCCAGGTGGTGGGTACATGGCAATGTTCTGCACTGTTTTTTTCAACATTTCTCTTATTGAAAATTATCTCAACAAAACCTAAAAAATGATCTTAGTTTTATAAAAATGTAAAATACTTATTTGCTTCATGAATTAATACTGTGAGGGAGGGGCACATGTGGTGTGTCAGCCCACAAGGCTGACACACTTTAAACAGTTGTTAATTGTGCTCTCGTATGGGGGAGAGACAAATACAATCCTTTTTTGTTTTTATCGGTACCAGGGATCGAACTCACGACTGCCTGCTTGCAAGGCAGGCGCTTATGCTGCTGAGCTAAATCCCCAGCCCCCTGACAAATACAATTCTTAAATGAGAAACACCATGGATTGTTAAATGCATTTTCATTGCTCCACATGTTTGCTTGCTTTATAAACATGTTTGGTTCCTAAATTCTAAAAAGACTGCCTATGAATAATTCTAGACAGGAACTATAACATTTTAATCTTTATTTTGTGGCACTAGCCAAAATGGATTAATTTTCATTTTCTAAACCCCTAAATGAATTTCAAACTGTTAACAGAGATTATCATGAATCTTAGTTATCATCTTTTAATTTTAAAATTAGAAAAAAAGTCATTTATGATGCTTTTTCCTAGTGGAAAACTTTCCTCTAGATATGTACACTATAAATGATATAGGATAGCGTGTTTTTTTACTTTGTGCAGATTGCTAGACCAGCTCTCTTTGACCAACATGTTGTGAATTCTATGGTTTCTGATATTGAAAAAGTTGACTTGAATAGTATTGGATCCCAAGCTCTTACCATTTCGGGCAGTGCAGACACTGAATCTGATATCTACAGTGAACGTAAGTCCCTTTCCTTTATTGAGAATAAATGGGTAGCTCTACAGGTGGGGCCTTTGCTAGGGACAGTAGGAGGTCTCATAACTTCCCCTGCCTTCTGCCCACTGTGGCCCAGAGTTGTCACACCAGCGACTAACAGAAAAGTCTCGACATTGTAAAATATCCTTTGGCTGGAAAAACATATCTGTTTGAGCAAGTGTTTGTAGAAACATTTTTAATTTTTTAAAAAAATTGTTCACTATTTAAAAACATATACTTATTGTAGAATCTTTGGAAAAGACAGATAACACTGAAAAAAAATAAATCTATAATCTCATTTTCTGAAAATAACAAAAATATAAGTAACCTACAAACTACTGAAATCGTTCTGAGTTTTATAAGTTTCTTCTTGTTTTGTATCATGCATACACACATTTACATGTGTGTCACACTGGTCATCACGCAGTGTGTGTGTGTGATGCATATCCACATGATGTCTCCACACAGTGCTGTTGACAGCTGAGGCCCTCCTCAGGTTGGGCTGTTGACCAGCTGCCAAGTCATGCCATGATAGCTAGGCTTGGTTTCCAAGGATGACAGTTCACAAATTTCCTCCCTTTCTCTCTGAATACCCCAAAATGTCAGCCTCCCTGTAGGATGTAGTGCACAATGCAATGCTTGTGCTCTGTGGACCACCTGCAACTTCTCTTTTTGTTTCTTAACATAAAATGCTATTACCTTTCAAGATTCAGTAAACTTCAAGCTCTTCAAAAACATTATAATCCCAAACTGGCCTTTTAAATTTTATGGTAGAAGATTATTTAGGTAATGGCCCAAACCAAATGCAGAATTTAATTTGCTAAAGAATCTTTCAGAAAGCAGGAAATGAACATGCCTAGTCTGCTTCATTTATTAGTTTTTGACTGATTAGAATGAATACTAACCTGTATTAATTTACTGTAGTTTATGTAAAATGTATCTATGGCCGATCTTTCAATATATAGTAAAGGTAGATGCACTTATGAGTACAATTTTGAAGAGTAGAATATTAAGCATTTTTGTTACTGTTTTCCTAATGAGAAATTAATTCCTCTCACACTTGAAACTTTACCTATCGCTTCAGTGTATGGTATAATAATTTGTAACTACATTTTTGCTTCGGTTCAAAGTGAATGCAATATTCTGCTTTCTTCCCTCCCCTTTTGGCCATAGAGGATTCCATCACAGTGTTCCAAGAACTGAAGGACCTCCTGAAGAAGAATGCCACAGTAGAGGCTTTCATTGAATGGCTGGATTCCGTGGTGGAACAGAGAGTTATCAAGGTGCTTTTCCATTATAGCTCGAAAGTAAATTTTTGGTTAAGAGTAAATGCAAAGCTGAGTATGATTTCTTGCCTGTTGAAAGGCGCAAGGCCATGTTTAGAAATTCTTTGGAAAGACTTTGTAACCCTGCAAATACGACAGCCCAAATATCAAAACTAAGAATGTGAAGTTGGCAAGCACTAGGCATGGGTTCTATCTTTTCCTCATTTCTTAGCTGCGAGCCACACGGTCCCGTTTCTTTCCATGAAGTTCCTTTCAGTAAAGTGGCATCTGAGTAACATCATTAGGAAAAGATGAACTTAGAAGCCGGAAAGATCTGGCTCTTTCCTGAAAAGCAAGATTTTATAAATGCTCATGGAAAATATAATTTTACTCATTTACAGTTCTGAATTCTGAAAGCTCAGTATTTTATGCTTTTTATGTTTGATTTCTTCAACTCCTTCAGTCATCATCATGAGACAAGGGAGTAAGAACAAACATATCCCTTGCAAGCTGGTGCAAACCATCCCATGTCAGGGAAATTAGTTATATCTGGGAATGGTTTTTGTCTAGAAGGAAAATAGATTATGATTCAGGACCTAGGAAGTCTCTTAATTATTCACAGAAATATGTAACCCTTCCTTTACACTTGACTTTCTATTCTAAGCTCTATCCAAAAAAATTAAAAGATACAAATACTTTGTAAATTATTTCATTTTATTGTTTAATTCTATTAGAAAAAAACTATGTGGAATAAAGACTTATTACCTTTAAAGTGACAATAAAGAGAAACCAAAATTCACATCCTTTGATAGATCATTTTATTTGATCAAATAAATGGTATGTGATCTGTTGTCAGTTCATCCGCCTGTGGTTTAGTATAGGATGCGTGTAGTAATGAAGCAACAGATTTTATAGTTCATTCTGTTCCTTTACTTTTAGACCAGCAAACAAAATGGAAGATCATTAAAAAAGAGAGCTCAAGACTTTCTGCTGAAGTGGAGCTTTTTTGGGGCTCGAGTAATGCATAATCTCACCCTGAACAACGCATCAAGTTTTGGTATCTTATGTATTTTATAAAAGTCTTGTTATGTGAATTTTATCATTCTTCTCCAGTCAATTTTCTATTCATTTTAAAACATAGTACATTTTCAATTTTCCAACTATATCTGAATATTCAGCCAACGGGTAATAGTAGTCATGAGCCTGGAGTTTAGAATCAGACCACATGTAGGGATAAGTCCTAACACTGCTTCTTTCTACCTGTGCTTCTAGCCAAGCCAGTTTGGTGGGAAGAGTATTCTTCTCATAAGGTTGATCAGTCCTTTAATGTGAAGGCTATAAAAACATATTGCCTACCAATCAGTAAGTATTTAATGAATAGCACCCATTGTTCCATTCCATTAGTACTTGAATAAATTTTGTTTGTCAAATAAACAAACAAAATTAAGACAATATTTTCCAAAATTTTTCACCTTTCCCTGGCACCCATATAGCTTCACTCCAGGAACCAATAATCAGCTTTGGAGACTTATTCTGATGTTTCTGAACCCATCTTTCCTGATATGTGTGACTTGTAAAGTAGATTGGCCAAATTAACTTTTTCAAAAATTGAATTTTTATTTTCTTTCTTTCTTCTTTACTACCAGGGATCAAACTCAACCTTGTGCTTGCCAGGCAGGCACTTACAAAACTGAGCTAAATCCCCAGCCCTGTAAATACTCCTTTCTCTAAAATTTCTGTAGTTTGTAGTTACAATTCTAAATTTCTAGGCAGTAACTCTGCACTTAATAGTTACATTTCAAGAAACCTTAATGTTGTAAAATAGACTGCAGTTAACTAAATTGTCTCTAACGGTCAGTGGAATTGAATAAAATCAATAGACTTGCAAACAAAATACAGTGAGCTTATTATTTGAAATAGACTTGCCCATATTTTAAATTTCTCAAAGAAGAATTTTGGTGGGAAATTTGTGGAGTAGTTAAAAGAAGTTTTGGGGTATTTTTAGCACATCATTCATATGAAAATTAGTTTTGTGCTTTTTTATTTTCAACTCAAGGATTATTTGCTTCAACCTAGAAAGACATCTGACAGTACCTTTCATTTGCCCGCTGACTATGTAGTACAAAGCAAACAGAAGTAGAGCAGAGCAGAGCTCCTTCTCTCCTGGCTGGAGCTTATCGTGCTCCGGTGTTCACCCTCTTAAGCATGAAGCATGCCTCACTTTCATCCGTGGTTTCCTTTGATGTAATTAGTGGCCAGAGAGCTGGCAGGACAGTACACAGAGGAGTGGGGCAGGCGGCACACAGAGATTAGAGATCCACGTTAAGCATGTTGGTCTTAGCAGGTCATTTAAAGTCCAGCAAGTATTTGTTTATTTCAGTTGCTCCTTGTAAAGTGTGGCGAGATGGTCACAAAGATAATCTGAATTCTCCCCTTTTGGTCCCCACAATGTTACTCCATTTCAATGTCCTTTCTCCTCTCTCCGTCCATGGACAAGGCTCTTTTCACCTGATCCGAATGCTTCTGGATGAATACATTCTCCTGGCCATGGAGACTCAGTTTAACAATGACAAAGAGCAAGAATTACAGAATTTATTGGACAAGTATATGAAGAATACAGGTATCATAAAATAAGCATTGTGTACTTTATATTTTTGTTGATACTTAAGCTTAAGGATTTGCTAATGCATAGTGTGTTTATAATAATTTCAGATTTTTCCTCCAAATATGAGGCCACTAACACCATACAGTAACACTAACTGAATACTTTTTGCCCGTTGTTTATACATAGAGTAGCTAGAATTTTTTACTGGAAAATCAGAAGTTTAAAAACTGATTTTCTTAGCTTCTGAGAATTTAGATGTAGATAGGTGAGTAAAATGACTGTAAAGAACAAAATATAGTTCAAGATAATACATGCAATATAATGTGTGTGTGGTTGTGTGTGTGTGTGTGTTAGAAATAAGCTGTATAGTCACTTAGAGAAGGAGACCCTTCTATTTGGAATGGGAAAACTTGTACTGTGAAGATTGTTCCAGAGAGGAGTATGCAGTGCCCTTGAGTCATGCACTGATATGTAAACCCAGCACCGTGGTCAGGTCATGGTTCTGCCATCTCCTCTACCACAGGAAGCATTGCTTAGGAGTTTCCAGATTAATTACTCATCCAGTCAACTAGGAATACAAGAATAATCTCTGCTTTATTGCTTCAAAAAATCCTCCCAGATGCCAGTAAAGCCACCTTCACTGCCTCTCCAAGTTCCTGTTTCCTGGCCAACCGTAATAAAGGGAGCTCAATTTCCAGTGAGGTGGTGAAGAATGAAAGCCACGTGGAGACAGCCTATCTTCCTCTACCCTCCAGCCAGGCTGGAGGCCTGGGCCCTGCTCTGCACCCCTTCCCTGTTGGGGGCACGGACAGCATGCATCTTGCAGGTACCTGCTGGATGGAGAGAGTTGCCAGTAGAGTTCAGCACATCCTAAATCTGTTCCTTTGTTTTTCTTAAAATGCCTAGCCACAGGGAAGAATAATGAAGAGTTACATTAACAAATTTATGATATTTTATATGATTTGTAATGTTTCAGTTAAAATTGTATAAGATTTAAATATAACTGAGAATACTTTTGTGATTTTTCAGCAATTACCATTCATTTTTATTGATATCATTATTCATATAAGACTCACACTTTCATGCTTGATAATTTATAATTCTGTTGTTCATTTAGTGGAAGAAAAAAAACTATCTTGGTGTGTGTAGGATCTTTTTAGTTATTGTTATTGCTTGTTTTTCTGAAGCGAGGTTTCACTGTGCTGCTCAAGCTGGCCTCTACCACATGGTCCTCCTGCCATGGGATCCTGAGAGCTGGGATCACAGGTGTACAGCACCACACCTAGCTTTTTGGTGCATATAAAATCTTTAATATGTTTTGAAGGTAAAAAAGGGCTGCTTATTGATTTTGATGAGATTTCTCCTCCTACAAAGTAGATTCAGCCATTCTAGGATTAACTCTTACAATAATTTTACTCTGTGGTCTAGTGCCCTTTTTGTGTCTAAATGAAGTTTAGTGGCATAGATGAGCTGCTATGGAATATTTCAAATCTGTTCATCACCTTGTATCTTTTTTTTGTTTGTTTTTGGTACCAGGAATCAAACTCACTCTTGCCAGGTAGGAGCTGTGCCACTGAGCTATATCCCCAGCCCCAACTTATGTCTTTTGAAGTCCTCCTATGCACGTTAACTCACTGGACACACAGAATTTTAAGCTTGGAAGGGCCTTGTACTTCAGTGGTCCAACTGCACCGATGGAAGACTGACATTCAGGGAGGGGTGCCATTCACAAGTCCCAGCTCATTAGTGCAGTTTGCAGGTTTGAGTTGACTCGTTTGGGCCATGATCATTTTGACATCTTTTATCCTAAAGACCCAGCCATCTCACACTCAGCTTGTTTCTTGGCTGAGGAGGAGGTTGGCACCAGACCCAGGGGTTCCCAGGTGCAATTCTGATCATCTTCCTTCTGGGAACCTGGAGCCTTCTCAGTCTCCTCAGTCACTAATCCACAATACCAATGCTGAGATCTAAACCTGTTGTAGAGGTTTTAAAATCTGGATTTTCAGTGCTCTCCAATTATTTTTGGAGGTTATAAATGAACCAATTATTTTTTAAAAGGTGTGTTAGTAAAGTTTTAAAGACTTTTAAAGGATCTGAGTCCATTCACTTTAATGTGCCAATAAGTAATGCGCTAGGCATTTTTTTCAGGTCAAATGGAGCTTTCACAGAGCAGTGGTCCTTTGATGACTCCACCCATTTCCCCAGCCTTGGCCAGCAGAGGAAGCGTCATCAACCAAGGGCCGATGGTAGAGAGGCCTCCAAGTGTGGATGCTGCGCTCCCAGTCACCTCTCACTGCTCCGTGTGCCCTGAGGCCATTTACCCTGCTCTGCCCCAGGCCACCCATGACTTCTATGGGGCCAGCTCGAGCTATCAGACTGTGTTCAGGGCACAGCCTAATGCCTCCTCAGGACTCTATCCTCGTTCAGAGCACGGCCGGTACATGGTATGGACGGAACAGCAGCTTTCCCGAGACTACTTCAGTGGCAGCTGTTCTGGGTCTCCATACAATCCCCGGCCATCCTCTAGTTACGGGCCACCCCCACATGCTCAGGAGTCGCACAGCATGCAGTTTGTCAACACAGGGAGTTTCAACCTCCTGAGCAGTCCTGGGACTGTCAGCTGCCAAGGAGCAACACTGCCTTCTAATTCTCCCAATGGTATGAAAGTTTAAAGAGTTCTCTTGGCTTTTGCAAAAGCAAAAAGGCAAACTCAGACCCTGAGCTGCACCTCTGCCCAGTAGAGTGTCATCTACACAAGACTTCCAAAGATCACAAGATCTTAGATATTTGGGACTGATTTCTCCAAAATACAAACAGATTTCCTATTCTTATGGCAGAGTTTCACTAAAAAGTGCCACACATGATAAAATCAAACCAAAGACCCATGTCAAGTCACACACTTGAGACCAACCTTAGCAGGTCCAGTAGTGTTCTTTCCTTTAAAAGTATTTTTAGTGGAGTCTGTCCCTGTTCAGAGATCAGCAGATTTTAAAGAGTGGCACGAAAGCAGTGCCAGTAGAAGCTGGGTGTTATGGGAGCCCGAGGGTCTGTGGACTCTGAGAACCACCAGTGCAGGCTCAAGGCTACTGCTCTGAGGCCTTGCCCTGCTATGTTCTGTGGGCTCATCATTCTCCCACAAACAGGACTTGAAAGGTAGCATAACTGATAGGTTAGTGGCCTTTTTTCCTTTTGCCCTGGCAGACTTTATTAACTCAGATAAGGAAAATATGACAGCTGTGTAGTCTGTCAAAATTAATATGACAACTCCTTTTGAAAAAGTATACAAGTCATAGTAACCTACAACCATATATAAGCACAATTCAACTCTATTAATCATAGATATAGATGTAATATTTATGGTTTGATATCTGTAGGCTGTTTGCAATCACCATATAGCTTTCTCCTCCCTGGAATGCTCTTTCTTTTAACTCTCACAGCGTATTCTCCACCCATGCTGTCCTAGGGTACTATGGAAACAACATTAGCTACCCCGAGCCTCACAGGCTGGGACCTTTCGTGAACCAGCACGTCTCTGTCATCAGCAGTGTACGCTCTTTGCCTGCCTACAGTGACATCCATGACCCACTTAACATCTTGGATGATGGCAGCAGGAAACAGGCTGGCTCCTTCTACTCAGATGCATCAACGTCAGGTACATGTCGGACCCCACTACTAGGTTAATTGCTTTAGAGGCTCTGGAAACCATTTGAAAAAGTAGTTGACCTTAAATATGCACCCCTTAAAGAAACCCTGCAGCTTGCAAGAGATGTGCTGCTAGAACCAAGCAAAGTGTCTGCAACACAGTAGGGATTCAATAAATCAGCGAGTGCAAGAAAGAGTAGAAACTAAATCTAAAGCCAGGTACAGAAGTGCATGCCTGTAAATCTGAGCTGAAGCAGAAGGACTGAAAGTTCACAGCCAACCTGGGCTACATAGAGAAACTCTGTCTCAAAAATAAATTATAGATACATGTATCTCAATTGCTTGCCAGACATATGAGAAGCCATGGTTCAATCCCTAACACATATATGTGCACATACACACGCAAACATCTACACTTAGTCTACAAGAATTAGTGTGTTACTAACAACATAGATCTTTAGGCTGAGTCTATGTATAAATTTAGTTTCTAAAATTTTTAATAAGCTATATGTACTTTAAGAATCAAAGCTGAGAATTAATGTTTCTATTAGATGTTTAGAGTCCTACACTGGAACTGATTTAGACCAGTGTAAGTACAGGCATTGACGGTCAGGCCGGAAGAGAGTGAGATAAGTTCCTCCCTGCTCACTCAGTGTACCTTTCCAATAAGCACTCGGAAGTGCTTCTTCCTTTCCTGAGATCGCAGAAGCTCCCTGCACAGCTCCATAGCTCATCTCTCACCATTTGCAGTTATTGCTTCTAGGTTACTCTAATGAAGTGGAAAATTCCACTTCAGGAGGTTTTTCAGCCTGACTATAATGTGCTTCGTTGCTATTGTTACTATTAGTTCTGTTTACTTGACAGATAATGGAAGCTCTGAATCACACGGCTAACAGTGTTGGGGATTCTGAACTTTGTCAAAGCTGGCTTGAGGATGGAAAAGGGATAGATATAGCAGGACCAAGAGAATCAGGGGCCTCCTTCAGAGGCTCTTGCAGAGCCCAGTTTCTAGTAACAGACAGCAAGCAGGCAGCCACCAATCCCATCCCATGGCCAGGGAGTGGCATACCTGTGCCAGACCCCAGTCCAGACAGAGAGGGTGAGGGGCTGATTAGGCCACCATCCTTGCCTGAGGAAGTTTCCCTTGTATAAGGAAGAAGAAAGCAAGGATGCATCACCAAAATGATTTCAGATTTTCTGAGTTGGTTGGTTAGCTTGAACTGGTGGCCAGGGATGGAGATGCTGCTCTGTGCGGGTGGCTGTAGCGGAACCCTGAGTAGATGCAACTGAGTGCAGTAAGTGGGAAGGGGGCACTGCGGTGAGCATCTGCAGTGGGGTTCTGGGCAAAACAGATGCAGTGCGGAGCTTCTGAATGGGAACAAGTCTGGATATTCACTGGGCAGAAAGAAAGCCAGTGTGGCTTGGGCATGGTGAGCAAAGGAGACAATGGAACAAATTGAATCATGGAGCAGAGCTCATTCGTGCAGGACGGTGATGGCAAAACTTTTAGAGCTTTCAATGATAAACAGCTGCTACAGCACACCTGTCCTAGGTTTGGCACCACTGGTGTAGGTTCATAACCAAGGGAAAGAAGCTAGTTTTGTTCCAAGTGTGGGAAGTAATTGCTGCATTTGAGGAGTGTGAAGGTTAGTTCTGCATTTCTACAAGGTCATTCTAGCTGCTTGCTGGAAGGTGAAGAATGAGGCAGTGGTGAGAGTCACCAGGCCAGTTAGGAAGGCGCTGTGTTAGGTGAGAGATGATGGTACAGATGAAAGAAGAGTCAGGTGATGGAATAGAGTTCTAATGGTAGAACTTAAGATGACATTCAGTTATGAAGTATATAAGAAATAACAATTTCTAGCAAGATACCAAATGGGAAAAAAGTGATTGCTCCGATTACATGCATTCAAATTTCAAACAGTGTGTGTACTAAATGCAAGACTAAATACTATAGAAGCTTAAAGTGAGTAGCAGTTACAAAGAAAAGAAAATGTCAGTTGTCAATTGCCAATTCTGGTTTTTCCTTCCAGCTTCCAACTTGCAAACCCCAATTCCTTCCTCTTCATCCCAGTGTATGTATGGAACTTCCAGCCAGTATCCAGTGCAAGAAGCCCTGGACTCCCATGGAGCAAGCAGTTCAGAGATTGTGTCCTCTTTGCCACCCATCAACACTGTGTTTATGGGAACAACAGGCGGAGGTACCTAAACCAATCGCACTGGATGAAGTAGAAATTTCAAACACTCCTGTGAAGGCTGTGATGGAAAAGAAGGAAATACCAGAGGTGGCAGCTGGAAATGGTGGCACCCGTGCTACGGGGAAACTCCATAGTAGATGGCCCTGCTTGTGGTTTGCCTTGTGCACACATAGCTTACAGTGTGATCTCCTTGTTAATCATAGTTTGAAACACTATCAAATGAAAGCAGTGGAGATTTGAAGATATGAACATTTTAACTACCAGGATTTACTATTTTACTCTTTAATTTATTGAAAATGTGTATACTCCTTCTTCTTTGGTTTCTTAAAAAAAGTATATTTAATGCCTTTATAATGCCTTTAATTTATTAGGCTCTGAGAATCATTGTTTACTATCGCTTGTTTGACCAAAAGTCAAAAGTGTATGTTCTACCTCCTATGGAAATGTTTACAATGTCCACTTAATTAAATTCAGCCCAGACCAAAGGGGCTTGCCTCTCAATTCCTGGATACTAGCAGGATGATTCCTGTTACATAGCAGTAGCCTAATTCTGTGTAACTAAACAGAGATGATAGATATTTTCCCTCTATCTAAAAAGATAAGAAATAAATAATGTATGGAAATATTTTTAAAGTCTTGGGCTGGTATTTCTGAAGGAAGCTGAATATTTCCAGGAGCAACACCTTTGGATATTAGTTGAAAAAAACAAGGCTGGTGGATGCGATAATTCAAGAACTCTACGTATAAATCTATATAAACACCCAAGACATGTGAGTTGTAGACTATTTGAATATGCTTGAATTTGCAAAGTGTTTTATTGAGTACTTTGCTTATAAATTGAGAGTAAATGAGAATTCTGCTATCATTTAGAGACCAATGTTAATTCAGAAGTGAAGAATTCATCACAGACAAGTTAATGCAATTTGATAACACTATCTATCTTGTTTTATTTTTCTTTTACATGTCTGGCTTAAAAATCTTTTATCAGATTTGTGGCTTATATAGGAGATTTCTCCTATGATATTGTGACAGACCTCATGTTATTCAGATTAAGAATTAGGTTATCCTATAAATTTCAAGAACATAGTGAAAATATTTCTATGCCCCAGACATAACATACATTACCTTTCTTTCTTTCTTTCTTTCTTTCTTTCTTTCTTTCTTTCTTTCTTTCTTTCTTTCTTCTCTCTCTCTCTCTCTCTCTCTCTCTCTCTCTCTCTCTCTCTCTCTCTCTTTCTTTCTTTCTTTCTTTCTTTCTCTTGTACTGAGGATTGAACTCATGGCCTTGTGCTTGCCAGACAAGTGCTTATGCCACTGAGCTAAATCCCTGGTCCTGTACTACACATCATTATGCATTTTGGTAAAAAACAAGCTGGAATTGTATCCTGTAATAATGCATAGTTAGTTACCTGTAGAAGTCTCAGTGTTGCTACCCTTTACTCTCCTGTAAAATATGTCTTATGCAGGAGAGGTATTTTACAGGACAGTGAAATTAAAGGCTTGGAAGGAAACACTAAAAAAACAGTTTTAAGAAATATTTGGCCCTAAGAACTGCTTTAGTAAGCGAATTTTCAAGGTACAGTAATTACGTGTACATCCAACATGTGCCAGACACTGCTCAAGACAACATGGAGAACACAAAGATATGAAAGACAAGGCCATATCATTATAATATTTTGATGCAAAGAAAAGAGGGTGACATGATAGGAAGTAGAAATTCATTGAAGATTTTTGAGATATAAGCGAAGTGGGGAACTTGTGGCAATAGTTGGAGGGTGCAGGTGGACTGGTTGGGAAAATTGGCCTAGGAAGGGCTGTTGGGAGGGCAATTTTCCCATCAAGAAGTCCGGCAGATAAGCACAGAGACTACTTGAAAGAACATATCAGAGAGAATAAGAAAAGAATCATCTCAAAGAAACCAAGCATGATCAGAAATAATAATTTGAAGGACTGTCCCTAGCCCTGCTTGCATACATGCTCCCCACCTGTATTTAAAACATGACCATGGAAATAGTTGGCCCCAGAGCACAGAGAAACTCAGAAGACAGGTGAGTAGCATCTCTGGTTTTCATGTGCACCTGGATAATGTTACAGTGCCTACTATGAAATCTCCTAGAAAAGGCAGGTGACTTTCTCTCTCCCTTGGTGTGGAGCTGGAACTTGGTCTGTTGAAGGTGAGTAGTGTTTTTCAGTACTAGCATCACTGGTTTTCATGCAGGACACCTTTTTGTTTTGTAGCATCATCCTGCATATCATAGATAATACATACACAGATGTATTACCCTGGGTCCTCAGACACTGAAGGCTAACTGAACACCCTCTCCTAGTTACTGTGGTGATCAGAACATTTCATATGTTTCCAAATACCTGCACAATTGGTGCTACTGCTACATGAGTTAAAGGTGACAGCATCTTTAAATTTTACTTAGGAGAAGCATGAGATAACACAGTATCTCTCTGTCCTTTAGTTACATTAGTCATTTAGGCATTTTCCTTTGAGAAGTTGAAGCCTGGATGTTCAAGGCATTTTATTACACTTGTGTTAACTTTAATATAAAAGTTTTAATAACTTTATAGTATAATATAACTTTATAGTATAGTATTTATAGTATAACTTTAATAACTTTATAGTATAGTAACTTTATAATATAGGATTTGTATTTGAAAGTAAATTAGTTATTATTTAAATGTTTTTGTTTAGAAATTGTGGAATATTAGTAAAAGAAGTAACTTGTTTAACCTGTTGTGTCTATGAAGTGTAAACTTAAGATCAGAAAACAATTTAAGAATGCTAGGGTTAGGGGCTGGGGATTTAGCTCAGCGGCATAAGCACCTGCTTTGCAAGCAGGCAGTCGTGAGTTCGATCCCCGGTACCGATAAAAAGGAAAAAGACAAAAAACAAAAAAGAATGCTAGGGTTGTAACTCAATTCTTAAGGTGCCATTTTCAAAGTTCATATAGTAGCAAGTGTTATAAATAAAAGACAAAATGATGAATGCTCATTTAATTCAGCCAATCCTTAATGCAATTTAGAGACCAAGAACATGCTTTATAATAATTTTAAACCCAGCTGTATTACTAACATTGAATCACAGATTTGAAGGGACCTGGTTTATTTTCCTTTCGCTAGTTAGTATTTAACCAGAAAAATCTGAGCTGTTCTTCATTGTATGTTCCCATGAATACTTTTAGTTCAGGAAGTACACTTCTTAAAATTTACAAAAAAAATTAATCTAAATTCTAATTACACTTGTGATGTAAAAATCTCTTTGGTCCCACTTCAAAAAAGAAGGATTCAACGGCCCTTAAAATTTTTACCTATGTGCATCTATTTTGGAAAAGAAAAGAGTGGTATTTTGCTTGTCACTGTGCCTGAAAGGTTAGACATTTGAATATCTAGCAATGTGTGGGGCAGATTTTCACATTAGAGAACTGTCTCACTTCAAAAGCCAATTACATTTCTGGCGAAAATGCAAGTAGAATAATAAGCTCATGGGTTATTCCCCTGAACTTTGTCCAGGGTGGTGTTCTATATTAGTATCCAACAAACTCAATCAGGTCATCTGAGGGTCTGTGGCCAGAAATTTACCAAATTAGCATGTGAGAGAGAGAGAGAGAGAGAGAGAGAGAGAGAGAGAGAGAGAGAGACACAGACAGACAGACACAGACAGACAGACACAGACAGACACAGACAGAGACAGAGAGACAGAGGCAGAGACAGAGACACAGAGATAGAGAGAGAGACACAGATCTGAGTTGTGAGGCAGCTCCTGCAGTCATCCATGGGTGTGGGACTCTTCCAGTGGGCACTGCTAGGGGCCCATTGCTCAACAACAGAACAACATTATGCTATTCTGACAGTCAGGAGCAAGATACAGCTCTTTTCTACCCTCTTGAATCTGTCTTAGAGCCTCAAAAAGACATGATCTCTGCTTGGTTGTTCAGGACATTGCTGATTCATTGTACTTCCTGGTCCATGGTAGTACACATCTCTTCTGCTGAAAACCTGGATTAGCAATAAATTACAAGTACATTGATTTTATGTTTGTAAATTCAGCATGTAAAAACAGAGCAAAGAATATTGCCACTTACTAAGTTTCTTTTCAACTGATAATATGAAAACATAAAAATTGCACATATTTATGGGGTATCAGATGATATTTCTCTTTTTTTTGGCCTTTTGGGAAAAATTTTCCCCTCTTTTATTTTATCTTTTTAAAATTTTATTTAAAGAAAGACAAAACAAAACAGAAAATGGGCAGAAATAATACATACTTTCAAAGAAAAGAAATAAGCAGTAATAAATCACTAGTTGATGTATACATATTGTCCCCCCACAAATAATTGTTCAAGATACAAAAGTGGAACATACCAATGGGAATTCAACCAGGGATACTGCAAACAGTATCTGTTCTGTTCAACTATTCAACAAAAACTAAGTAATATGGCTATCAATCCTATACACTTAGACATGTACGCATTTATCCATATCTTCATTTATGTTGAGACCAAACAAAACTTAGTAGATTAAAATCATTCTGAACCAAGATTAATAGTATTGCTGGATTTCACATCATGACACTCTGGAATCAGCACTGGGTACTATAGTGCCCTTTCAAAGTATTTGTTCATTTCATCATGTGTCATAAGATCAGTTCTCATAAACTGTTTATAGGTTTTACACAAGCATGAATCTTAACGTATTTCTATCCTTTCTATATGAGAGGGAGAAACAGAACAAAGCAGGACAGAACAAAAAATATTCCTATAGACACATAAAACTAAAAAGTCATATAAAACTACTGTATAAGGAATTGTACCATGGTCATTATGTTGTCTCTTGTTATTATCAACAGAATTGGCTATATCATCAGATAAAATATAATTGAATATACCAGTACATAACAGAATTAATAGAAATACAACTTTGTAGATAGTGTAGAGCTACAAAAACAGGTAGTAATCAAATCAGAATGGATATCATAGTGAATCATTGTCATTTTCAGTATAGTTGTCTATACTCTTCAACTTGATACCATCAACCTAACAGTTTTGAATAAAATCTGTCAGTAATAAGCAGCAATCAAACAAATCAGATTTAACTAAGAACAATCATGATACAACAGTAAAAGTTATACAGGGATCTGGATTAAGTTAATAGGAAATTAAAGATGACCACTGTGCTATATCCTGATATCTTTGGGACATCTGTCTGTGCCCTCAGATCCAGTGCTTGTATACAAACTGGGATGGAACAAGTTCCATCCAAGCAGAGTGGTGCGAGTAATAAGGGTTTTAATTCCTGATACACTATTAGCTATATCTTCTGCTATATTTTTTAAGACTATTCCTTCCCCTTTACTCCCCCAGGATGTACTGTGTACTTTTGGGTTTCCCCAACACTCTTGATTTTATATTGAGGGGCAACTTGCTATTAACCCAAGTGTTTCTGAACTTTCTCACTCCTAGATTTGATCTCTAGTTATATTTCTTCACTTATTAAAGCCTATCTGTTCAACCTATTCATAAATACCAGTCCAGTTACCTCTGTTACTCTCTGGTTCCCTATCACATTGAGTTCTGTTTTCTCATATTTGATTTTGGTCCATATACCGT